CCAACAGGGGTACCGCCGGGGGCCAAGACGACACTCTTCCTGACATTTTCCTAAGGCGACTAAGGTGATGGACATACCATTTCTCAGACCGGCAACCGGCTGATCCATTTCTAGGGAAGGAAACCTGGACAGGTATAACAGCAAAAAAGGCTGCTCGGCTAGCTTTGCTTTGTTTCTTACTTCTTTTCACTTTGACAGTTCTACTTTTGCTGACATCTGATTCAGGTGACTTTTCTTATTATTGTCTGTGGACATTGTCAAACAACTTTGATCTTTTAGTGATGCAACTGTTTTACATGATGCACTCTGGGCTTTCCTTCATGATGTTTGCAGCATTCCAAGTTTTCGTTTGTCGTCATCCCACTGATCGTGTTTGCAGCCATGGCTGACTCCGATCGTTCGCGCTCACCTGTGCCTGCCCGCAATCGCCTCGATCCACGTGGACAACCCCAACCAGTACCATTCTTCCCTCGATGGTGCGGACCCATGAGTGCAGCTGTCTGGCACCTACACAACACGCCCAGACCTCAGACCCGGCCATCGTGGCCAGGCACTCAGTCGGGACCTACATGATGGGACGTATGTGGACACCACCTGCCCTACCGAACAGTTGCGCATCATCGCAACCTTTTCCACCAACTCCACCCAATGCTCCTCCACCACCCACTCTGCCATACCCACACCTCATCACTCCACAACCGTGTCCACCAACCCAGCCTTGCTCACCCGCGACATCGATTCCCTCGTCGCAACCGCGCTCGATCAGCAATTCACATTCTGGTCCACCACCCAAGACAGACAAGAACGAAGCCACCAGGATTTATGGCTTTGATCTCAATCCACATTGGCAAGAAGATCGGGATCACTACGACAAGCAGAAGATCAACGGGCTCACTTTTCCCAGAGCCATTCGTCAGTCAGCCTTCATGCAAAAGCTTGACATTGAAGGATGTGATCCTCTGTCATTGCCGGTGGCTGCCCTAATGTATCAGAAGGCCAACAACCATTGGCTTCGGAAAGTGGCTCATGGTCGTGAAACTTACCTGATCCCGACAGGAGGCATTGCTGCGGTGGTGTTCACGATGGAACTTCTCACTCAGCTTAGAAACCGCGGCATCCCTGGACAGGGTCTCCCATCTTCGGGCCAGACAGGATGGAAAATTGTTGGACAAGACTGCCAACACCAAGTATGCCGCGCAACAGATCGCAGAACAGCTCGAAAGCTGGTTACCAGCCAGGGCCACGGATCCAGACTCCCAACATGAGATCACTCAGCTCTGCAATCAATTGGCTGAGCTTCGCCAACGCGCGGGTGAAGACAACACAGAGGGCACTACACCTCCCAGACCGGGTCAATCCAGTTCAAGTCCTGCTGCAACCCCCATCCAACGCGCACTCATGCACAATTCCAACGCTCCAGCTCCACCAGCCTTTGAACCTGCAAGTTTATTCACCCTTCCCACAACAACCAATCCATGGCTGGTTGACAACATGCCTAGCACTTTGGCTGTCCGCTCCTTCACCAAGTGGCTGAAAGACTTCCCCATCTCCGAAGCACAACGTGCAGTGCTGACCACGAACATTACCAAGACGGAGGCATGGTGGGGTCAGCAACCTGCCGAATCTCTCGAGACAATCCAAAGAGTAGCAATCATGATGGGCATTCCTGTAAGCCTCTTGAGCAAAAACTATGATGTCACCAACCTCCTCCAGCAGCGATCAGTATGACCAATTGACTAGCCCCACAGCTTCGCAAGAAGCTCAGGCACATTTCTGGTCATCTACATTCTTACTCCCCTTCACCATGGCTTCTACGCTTTCCCTTTTTCAAGGCTTTCGCATCATCCAAACTCGTACGATGGTGATGTCTCAGTCATCCATGGCCTTCGGCCCAATCAAAAGCTAAAAGCAATTTTGGAAGGATGTGCCAATCTCAGTCATTTGTGGGGTTCGTCGCTTACAGCCCACAATCTTTTTGCACAACCATTTTTCCTTTCTCAGTCGGTTTACATTCGTTTCATAAATTCTATATTGGGTCGGCCACGCACCACACCGTGGACCGAGACTACAGTCGCTCCAGAAAGTTTTTTAGCTAACCAATGACAGATTGGTGCAAGCTGAATTGGCCCTTCGTTACTGGAAGGAGCACGACAACCTGTACATTTGGGTTCCCATTCCTCTCTTCACGGAAAGAGCGGACTATCGCTGCCTCGAACTCGCCTTGATCCAAGAATGGCAGCCACGTATGAACTACACATTCATTTGCCAGTTTTTCCACCCACGGAAAGGCATCCTCAAGAAACCTGCGATGAACACCAATGCACAGTTTGGGCTTGCCACCCTCTGGCGACGACCCAAACACAAGTTCACTCTGCAGGTCGTCAAAGATATCCTGGCATCGGAAAGGTTTCAACACCGATTGGAACTCTGGACCATCATTCACTCCCTGGGGCCGAACACAAAAGCACGATTTGAACAAACCAAAATGCTCAGGTCCAATGATGGTGGCCTCACTGGGTGCTACGCATTCCGCCGCCTGGCGAACAACATCCATGAGCCATACCGGACCCTTTCTCTTCAAGCCATCGGTGCCTCCATCAAATGGTGGCATGGGAAACCTGCGCCAGGGGCTTCAGCACTCCGTGCTCCCTGATCCTTGAGCCCGAATCTCCAACGGACCCTGAAACAACTACGTCATTTCGCCTGGCAGGTGCTGCATTTCAGACGTGTGGTGCTGCATGCTTTTTGCGAATCGCATTGTCAGGGCTGCGTCAAGTGGTGACACAATGCAAATTTCGTGGCAGGCGTGGCGCTTTGTGACATGTGCTGAAAATTGAGGCAAGCCTCGCACGAAACATCGATTTTGAGGTAGCAAATTTTGAGGTTCATGAGAAAACTTGTAGGAAAACGTCGATTTTGTAGCTACACAGGGTGAAAATTTGAGGAAGTCTCGCACGAAATGCTCGTTTTGATGCTCCCACGTGTCTCGTCTCGAGCCTCTGGTTTTCCTGTGGCTTCGCAATGTCTATGGGGGAAGCTGCAAAGCCTCTCCTTTTCGAAGGTGTCCAAGAAGGTTAAAAGTCGTTTTGTGTGGCAGGCGTGGCGCTTGGTGACATTCTCACGTGTCTGAAAGAGCGTCGAAACTTGTTGTGTGTGTGACGGGTGCAATACTTATGTGCCCTTTTCAGATGATGGGTTGCATTTTTCACGGCAGGCGCAGCACTTCAGACGTGTGGTGTTGCGTGTTTTTTGCGACCCTACACTTTACATTTTACACTCCACACTTTACACTTTACTCTCCACACTTTACACCTTACACTTTACACTCTGCACTCCACACTTTACATTTTACACTCCACACTCTACACTTCACACTCCACACTCCATTCCCTTACATTTTACACTCCGCGCTTTAAATTTGAAAGTCCGCACTCTACACTCCACACTTTACACTCAACGCTCTACGCTTTACACTTTACATTCCGCACTCTGGACTCCACACTCCAGACTGTACACTTTACACTCCACACTTTCCACTTAACACTTTGCACTCCACACTTTCCACTTTGCACTCCACACTTTACACTTTACACTCCACACTTTACACTTTTACACTCCACACTCCACACACTACACTTTACACATAGCACTTTACACTCCACACTTTAATTTTGCACTTTTGCATTCCACACTCTACACATTACACTCCACACTCAACACTCCACACTGCACTTTACAGTCCACACTTTGCTCTCTACACTTTACATTTTTACACTTTTACACTCCACAGTCTACACTTTACACGCGACACTTTACACTTTACACTCCACACTTTACACTTTACACTCGACACTTTACACTCCACACTACACACTAGACTTCGCAGTGTACACCTTACACTTTGCATTTCACACTTTACACTTTACAGTCCACACTTTACGCTTTCCACTTTACACTCCGCACTCTACACTCCACACTTTACACCCACACTTCACGCTCCACATTGTACACCTTACACTCCACACTTTACACTTTTACACTCCGCACTTTACCCTTTCCACTCCACGCTCCACACTTTACATTCCACACTCCACACTTAACACTGCACGCTCTACACTTTACACTCCACACTTTACACTTAGCACTTTACACTCCACACTTTACACTTTACACTTGACACTCTACACTTTACACCTTACACTGGACACTCCGCACTCCACACCTTACACTCTACACTTTGAACTGCACACTTTCCACTTTATACTCCACACTTGACAGTCCCCACACTACATTCCACACTTTGCACTTTAAACTCCACACTCTACACTTTACACGCTACACTTTTCACTCCACACTTTACACTTAGCACTTTACACTCCACACTTTACACTTTACACTTGACACTCTACACTTTACACCTTACACTGGACACTCTGCACTCCACACTTTACACTCTACACTTTGAACTGCACACTTTCCACTTTATACTCCACACTTGACAGTCCCCACACTACATTCCACACTTTGCACTTTACACTCCACACTGTACACTCGACACTTTTCACTGCACACTTTGCAGTTTACACTTCACACTTTTCACTGTACACTCTACGCTCCACACTTTACACTTTACACTTCACGCACTAGACTCTACACTCCACACTTTACGCTCCGCACTTTCCACACTTTTTACACACTACACTACACTTGACAGTCCACACTTTACACCTTACACTATACACTCTGCACTCCACACTTTACATTCTACACTCTACACTTTGCACTCCACGCTCTACACTTCACACTTTCCAGCCCGCACTTTACAAGACTGTTTAAATAACTCTTTTCACACAAGTTGTTTACGTGACCGCGTTCGGGTTCGTAAGCTGCATCTTGCTTTGGGACCGCTGACGCTTGCAAACATCTTCAAGACTCGGTTCCTACATTCAGCAGCAGCCTGACCATGGCGCTCGAGATTGTAAATGATGAAACTTGCTTAGGCCTTAAGGCCTTGACCTTGCCAGAGCCACACGCAGAACCATGTGGGAGCAAGGCAGGCCTGTGCTTCTCAGCATGTGGCACTCGCGACACATTGCCACGTGCTTTTGCGATGAACATGTGAAAACAGTAGAAAGAGGGTTCATTGAGTTCACTGACCCTTGAAATTTGTTGGACATGTTTTACTTGAATGCTTCATCAAAATATCTGTTGAAAGATTGGCGTGACGCAGCAGTTTCTGAGATCATGAAGCTGTAGGAGCCCGTAGGCCCTTCAAAATGAAGGTATGGAATCCGCATGTGCTCTGCGATGGCGTTCCTGCAGGGCATCGAGCAGCATGGTGTATCGACCATTTGGGTGACCTGGTCTGAAACTTCAAGCTTCCAGCCACGGACAAACATGCAAGTTTCACGATTTAATGCAGTTTCAGTATGTTTCAGTCATGGCAGCTAAGCAATGCCGAACATGCATGTGAGGCTTGAATTCCGAGGACGCGCGGAGCCGCGTTTTGGAAGAGTTTCCACTAAAGTTTCTCGGCTGCTTTGACCACCCGACCACAACACCTAGGGCGTGTCTAGGACGTCCTAGCACCGTCCGGCTGCCAGCCGCAAGAAGAATTGATTAACACTAATTAGTTTCCAAGGAGAAATAGTGAGATTGATCGGTCGGCTGGTCTGGGATGTGCCAGCCGACTGCGACATGCCATCAACTGTGAGCAGTGACAAGAGCAATCCTGCATGTGGAACCCCAAGACATGGAAGCTGCCAAAAAGCAATTATTTCTTACATCAATCACCTCTTAGCTGGCAGAGAAGGGTGAGATACACTGATACCTCTTTTCCGCATCCTTGAAAGAGTAAACCTACCCAGCAAACAATACCGTTGTGAGCAAGAGTGTACGTACGATCTTGTGAGGACTTGCTGAAGCTTTGCTTTGCCCACAAAACAACACTGCGGAATTCCAGTTTGTCGATCGAATCCAAGGGCAGCACACAGGGTGAGCGTGAATCTGAATGGTTCCGCACTAATCAGCCTAGAACTACGATCATGACACAATAGCAACGGCTTCCAGAGTATGCAAGGTTTGGACATCCGCTTTGGAATCCAGATTTGCTTTGTGCGGGTCCTTCATCGGAAGACCGCCGCTGGGTCCGCAGACACATGTTGCTGCCATGTCGTTTGAACAACAGAACAGAACAGCATCTCCGTTCAAAGTCATGGAGAGTTCTGGAATTCTCTGTTGCATGCTGCGCACGCAGGCGTTTTCCCGAGCGCATTATGCTTCCCGAAAACACATTTGACCTGAGCACATTTTCCAAGGAGCCCGTTGGTGCGTGCAGTCTTGTGGCATGACCGTCAGTGAGGCACAAAATAGAGTCAGGGTCTAAAGTTGCGGTAGGGCCTGAGACCTTCACTTTGTGCTTTGCTGCCTTACATTACATATTTCCAGGTGGGCCTCTGCCACTTTGCCTAGGTGATGACCGAGTTTGCCAAAGTTTTTGAGCAAGCAGCTAACGAGAGCTTGGAGAAATGGAATCCTGAGATTGATTGCTTGAGCCTAAGTTCGAGTGGCATGAATCATTTTGAAATTTTGTTCTCTTTCACCCCAAGCATCATAGCAGTGGCACATGCTCCCGAAAGGTGACGGAACCCTCTCACGAGTACTTGCAGAACAAAGGGCTGAAGACATGGGCCTTTCAGCAAGCGCGGCCAGGACATGGGTCATGAGCTCAGAACTGGTGGTAGAGGTTTCCAGCTGCGAGATTTGCAGGCGCATTGACTTGCTTAGCATTCATGGCTTGGAAGGTTATGCAGGAATTCGCATCCCTCTTTTCTCAGCAGCCCTTGTCTCAGTTTCTCCTACATCATCAACGCAACTTAGACTTTGCGTCGTGAGCTCTTGGCTTAGGAGCAGATGGAGTCCAGATGTCATCTGCGATGGTGTTCCTGCAGGGGATCGAGTAGCATGGTGCGTTCAGAATTTGCTGCTAAGCTCCGAAGAAGCAAGGCCACGTGGAACAGAGTGCACGTGTTCATTTTTGTTAATTCTTGAACACCAAAGCTTGTATATAACACATCAGGCAGCGAGTCATGCGGGAGTTCTGTACGAATTTCGGCGAGAGGGCTGGCATCACCGCTGCAGCTTGGTATGCAATGTTTAGCTAAGGCGAGATGTGGCGGTCTATACACATTGTCACATTGTGCAAATTTTAGATGTGGCATGTCAATGCTGGCCTGTTCCGCTCTTGCAAAGGTCAAGATGTGGGAGGTTTTTCCTGAAGCAGAAGACGGCTCTTTGGTTTGGTGTGATGAGTTTGACTACACAGGACAGCTACATGTCCTTGATTGACTTACTGACAATGTGACAGATCGTGACACTGTGCTATTTGCACAGCTCAACAATCGATAGCCTTGGCATAGTATGCAGGCCCACCAGATCCGTCGAAGTGGTCCTGCGAGATTGGAGACCATGGCTGGGGCAATGGCGAGCTGCAAGCCTACACCGATGATCCCAGCAATGTCTGGGTTTCAGATGGAGTTCTACGCATCCAGGCCAAGCGACAATCTTTGGGACAGCGGAACTACACATCTTCCCGGCTGACGACCAAAGGAAAAGCGGATTGGCAATACGGTCGCATTGAAGTCCGGCTACGGCCCCCATCAGGTCGTGGTACCTGGGCAGCTGCTTGGATGCTGCCAACAAACAATAAATTTGGAGATTGGCCTATGTGCGGGGAGATAGACATCATGGAGCACGTTGGGCACGACGCTGGTAAGATTCATGGAACCATCCATACAGAGATGTGCAACCACAAGAAAGGAACCCAAGTTGGGAACATTTTGAATGTCGACTTGGAGCAATGGCACACCTATGGCGTGGCATGGTCACATGACCGGCTCAACTTTTTCTACGATGGGCATCGGTACTTGACTGTGACTAAGGCCCGCCTGCAGTAGGTTTGTTGGCTGGTCGCATTTTGTGAGTTTTCTTTGGGCTGACTGCCAGTCTGGTGTTGCCAGGAGAAATGGGCAAGTGAAGAGGCTTGGCCATTTAACAAGCCGTTTTTCATTGTATTGAAGCTTGGTGGCGTCCAGTATGGCTGCATCATGTGTTTGTTAGCAGGCAGCCAATCAGAAGAGGGTGGTGGGTATTGTGAAGCCAATGGAAAACTCACAGGTTTCAAATTCAGCATACTGCAGCTGCAGACCCCTTCACAGCATTGAAGTGCTTGTGTTCCAGGAACCTTGCAGTTGGTGGAGACTGGGGTGGGCAAAAGGCTTCTTGGCAGCCATAGGCATAGGCCTAGCATTCTGGTCATCATATATGTATAAATAAATAGATAGATAAATAGATAAAACAATTAAATAAATAAACAGATAAATAAATCAATACATAAATAAATAAATAAATATATATATATACATACAGTAAATTCAACGAAGGAAGTTTAGAAGTCAAACTTCCGACAATATGGATAGATGGAACAGGAGAGGTGGGAAGAGTCAGCGAAGAGAAGGGAAGAGAAGAGAAGAGAAGAGAAGAGGAGAGGAGAGGAGAGGAGAAGAGAAGACGAAAGAAGATCAGAGAAGAGAAAGGGTCAGAGGAAAGAAGATGCAGGTGCGCGAAAAGGTAGAAAAGTCGCGACAGACTGGTGTTTATCCAATGCTTTGTGGCTCCGGAGGGTCGAAAAGTAGGCTCGCTAAAGCAACGGAACGGGTGCGGAGCCATCTGGCCAGATGAGAGATGAAAAATTGCACGCTGTTGTTGCGCGAAGAACATTTCGAAGTCAAAACGCACAAGACACACCATTCTGGGAGCATTTTTGGAAGTTGAGATGATGAAACGTGCACGCCGTTGTGGCGCGAAGCACATTTCCAAGTCAAAAGTTGAAAAAACTGACGGTCTCAGACCACTTGTGGAAGTTGAGATGATGAAAAAGTGCACGCCGCTGTGGCACTGTGGCGCGAAGCAGATTTCCAAGTCAACATGTACAAAGCACTTCAGTGTCGGACCGCTTTTGGAAGTTGACTGCCAAAAGAGAGCAAAACGTCAGGGTTTGTAGCATTTTCAAAAACGATGGCAAGCTTGGGGCATTTGCAGAAGATCTGCAAAGATGCATCTCGCCTGGCAGGCGCAGTACAAGAGACATGTTCATCAGATGTGTTAGGAGGTCAGGGCGCTGATTTCCTGAAAAAAGGGGCATTTTGAAGCATCATACCGGCAGCTTTGCTAGGTGATTTTGCGTGACAGGTGCAGCACTTCGTATGACCTGGCATCACTTTTTCGTGGCAGGCGCAGCACTCTACACAGATGGAGTGGAAAAATCGCGAAACGCATTGGTACGAGGCCAGCTCTGCATTCAACTTTCTATTTTTGAAGGAAGTCTCGCAGAATAGCTTCGTTATTGACGTTGTCAAGTTCAAAAGTTGAGGAAGTCTCGCAGCCTTGCTGCGCTTCTGATGTTGTCAAGTTTAAAAATTGAGGAAGTCTGGCAGAACAGCTTCGTTTTCAAGCTTGCAGATAGATAGATAGATAGGTAGGTAGGTAGATAGACAGATAGACAACTACAACTAGAACCAGAACCGCAACTGCAACGACAACTACACTACACTACCGCTACGGCTACATTACACTACACTACACTACACTAATTGCACAGCACTACGCTAATTCCACTACAGCTATAACTACAACCAAAGCTACTATTACCATTACAGCTACAGCTACAGCTACACGTACTACAACTACACTACATTACATTACACTACTCTAATTACATTACAGTTGTAGTCTACAACTACAACTACAACTACACTACGTTACACAACACTACGCTACACGAATTATACTAACTACAACTGCAACTACAGCTACAACTACACCACATTCAATACACTACATTACATTACTTCCTGCACTCGTTACACCACACCACAACTACAACTGCACCTACGCTACACTAATTACACTACACGACAGCTACAGCTCCGCTACACTACAACTACAACTACAGCTGCACTACACCACGCTACATCTAGCAGTTGTGGGTGAGGTGGCAGCTGCAACCGTTGCAACCACTCCAAAAACACAACTCCAACCACCTTTCGGTCCATCAGTGGATTCGCTCTTCCATCCGTGAGTCACAAAAACCAACCTCTCCTATAGGTTTCCTATTTTTGAAACTTCCGCCACCGCCTTGTGCGGCACTACTGGTATACATGTACTGACTGAATGATGCTTTGTTTATGGTTTGTCTGGTTTTGGTTTGCTTGCGCTTAGTTGTGGCCGTTGCTTCAGATTGGTGTTGTTTGCGGTTTGGCCTAGCCCATGTGTCAGGGAGTCGACGACGTGGCCTTTGATGCTGGCCAGATGATGGAGGTGGCCTGGGTGCGTGTCTATGGCTCCGCTTGAGACCTTGCCGTCGGCGCGTTCTAGTGACGATCTTCGACCAGTACTAGTGAGAAGGGCCTTGAGCATTCTTGGAGCAAGGAGTCTTGTTAATGGGTCGCGACCCGCTCCTGAGTTGATCAAGTCACCGCGGAACTGTTCTACAGGTGGTCCAGGCCAGTGTAAGAAGAATGGCTTCCACGCAACGACAGATAGCAGAGCAAAGCTGCATCTGCGCAGAGACCAGAAAGCGTGGGCAAAAAAAAACTTTTGCACACGTCCAGCTACGAATATGAAGATCTTGTGACCAGCCTTTTGACCAATCATCACAAACAGAGCCACGACCGACCGACCCACCGACCTACATACATACATACATACATAAATAAATACATACATACAAGCATACAAACATACAAGCATACAAACATACAAACATACAAACATACAAACATACAAACATACAAACATACATACATACATACATACATACATACATACATACATACACACAAACATACAAACATACAAACATATATACATGCATACATACATACATACATGCATACATACGAACAAACATACATACCTACATACCTACATACCTACATACATACAAACACACATACATACATCCATACATACATGCACCCATACATACAAACAAACAAACAAACATACATACATACATACATACACACACATACACACATACATACATACATACATACATACATACATGCATGCATGCATGCATGCATACATACATACACATACACAGATACACAGATACACAGATACACAGATACACAGATACACAGATACACAGATACACAGATACACAGATACACAGATACACACACATACATTCATGCATGCATTCATGCATGCATGCATGCATACATACATACATACATACACACATACACAAACACATACACATCCGTCCTTCCATCCATCCATCCATCATCATCCATCCGTTTTTCCATCCATCCGTGCATGCGTGCATGCGTGCACACGTACATACACATACATAATCACACACACGCACACGCACACGTACATATATACATATACACATACATACACATACGCATACATACGCATACATACACATACATGCACATGCACGTGCACATGCGCATGAACATGCACATACGCACAGACATAGAGACATACAGACATACATGCAACCTTTAAACTAGGGATTCTTGAACACAATGGGGATCGTGCTAATCATGATTCAGGATCATGTGTTTTGCAATATTGTTGCAATGTATTTTCGTGGTTATGTGGGTCAATTGCAGGGTGTTTTGCAATTTTTATGTTTTGCCGGTAACGTTCAGAGCTTGGCAAAGTAGAGTGCAAGCGCAAAAGAAGTTACAGGAGCGTGGCGTAATGTATGGGTGCAGGTGCAAATAAACATTTTTAGCCCACTCACCCCACACCACCCCACCCAAACAAAAAACGCACAGAACGCACGTTCGGTTTCAACTCGTGGGCCTATACATACACACATTCACAAACACATACATGCACATACATGTACATGCGCATACACATACATGCACATACATCCATGCATACGTACGTACATACGTACCTACGTACGTACATACCTACTGACCTACCTACCTACCTACCTGCATACATCCATACGTACGAACGCACATACATACATACATGCATACATACGAACAAACATACATACATACATACCTGCATACATACATACATCCATACATACATGCATACATACAAACATACATACATACATACCTACATGCACACAAGTATACATACAAACATACATACATACATGCATACATACATACATACACACACATACATACATACATACATACTTACATACATACATACACACACATACACATACACATACACATACACAGATACACACACATACATACATACATACATACATATATAAATAAATACATACATACAAACATACAAACATACAAACATGCAAACATACATACATACATACATACACATACACATACATATACACATACACATTCACAGATACATACACACATACATACATACATACATACATACATACATACATACATACATACATACATACATACATACATACATACATACATACATACATACGCACACACATACGTACATACATAAATACATACATACATACATACATGCATGCATACATACATACATACATACATACACACACCTACACACACCTACACACACCTAAACGCACCTACACGCCCCTACAAACATACACATGCGTGCACATAGGTGCACACAAGTGCACATACATGCACATACATGCGCATACATGCGCATACATGCACATGCATGCACATCCATGCACATACATGCACATACATGCACACACATGCACATACATGCACATACATGCACATTCATGCACATATATGCACATACATGCACATACATGCGCAAACATGTATACATACATGCGAAAAAATGCACATACATGCACATACATGCACATACATGTGCATTCATGCACATACATGCACATACATGCACACACATGCACATACATGCCCATACATGCACATACATGCACATATATGCACATACATGCACATACATGCATACATACATGCGAAAAAATGCACATACATGCACATACATGTGCATTCATGCACATACGTGCGCATACATGCGCATACATGCGCATACATGCGCATACATGCGCATACATGCCCATACATGCGCATACATGCGCATACATCCGCATACATGCACACACACACATGCATGTACATGCATTCATGCACGCATACATGCACGCACGCACACACAGATACGTACAGACGTACATACGTACATGCCTGCATACATACATATATACATTACTTGTATGCATACATGCATGCATGCATGCATACATACATGCATACATACATACACACACACACACTGTACATGCTAACGCCCCCTGTCCCAGAACCTTACACTTCCAAGATCCTTTGCAATTCGCATCACATTTTCCTCCAGGTTCAGCGAAATTATCAATAACAACAACAACAGCAGCAACAAGAACAACAGCAACAACAGCAACAACAGCAACAACAGCAGCAACAACAACAACAATGACAACAGCAAGAATGATGATAATAATCATAATCCCCAGCATCATCATCGCCATCATTTTCACCATCGTCATTATCATCATATACGCGCACAAACACACACACGCGGATACATATATGTAACATGTGTGCACATATCATGCAATGAAGGGAGAGAGGGAAGGAGAGAGAGCGAGAGAGAGAGAGAGAGAGGGGCAAAACGCCACCTGACAGGATGCGACAACCGAGGTGACCGTGGTGCTTGTTGAGTCCAGGTCCGGTGGCATTTCATTCCACGATCGTCCGAGTAGTATTTCAGAGTGGAATCATTCAGAAGAACGAAGGCGAGTCCTTCAAGAGAAACGGCTCTGAAAAGAGACAGCTGCAGAATCCACACTTTTCGATTCGATCCTTTTCTCTCATTCCGTACTGCCCAGCTTCCGGCTTTGCTCCCTGCAGGTCAGCACCCAGTCCCGTTCCAGAGGAAGACATCACCGCCTTATACCATGTTGATTGTAGATTGTAGATGATTGTAGCGCTTAGATTCTGGAGATCAGATTGGTCTCAGCGGATTCCCGTCAACAAATTGCCCATGAGGATGGGATTGGTCTCCACTTCTTCCATCTCGACTTTGAAAAGGTTTGAGCTGCCAAAGACTAGCGAGAAAACAGTTTTAACGCTTTAACACTTTGACGGCTTTGGCTTGGACCTGCAGTACCCTTGACCTTGTGCACACAGGGGGTACTTTGGGCCAGGTGGATCAAGGGGCCTTTGAAGAGCAGTTATTGGAGAGCTTGATAGACATCGGTTGCTCCAAGGTGCTTGACTCCACGAGGAAGCCTTGGTGCTTCCGTTATGCGGTTTCCACATGTTTCGAGCATGCTTCAGGAACTCCTGGCAAACCTGAACATCAAGTTGCGCCCAGGCCAAGTGCAAGTGTTGGTGATGTGTTCATATATTGTTCATACGCACATTGAGCAGTCCCGCAGATGCGAAATAAATCTGAAAGGATTCAGGAGCTTTGTCTTTCTCTTGGGCTCATTTTAACGTCATTGCTTTGAGATGAAACCTTGGATGCCTTAGCTGCGCAGGCTCAGCTGGTTCCATTGCAGAAATTCGAGGTACGGCTAAATCGGTGTCGGCCACTCAGAGCCTGCAGGATCACTAGAAAAGCAATTAAAAGGGGGAAAGAAGTTAAATTTCTTACAGAAGCTTATGACAGAGAGACGGTAGACTGCTAGGATTGTAAGGACGGACTCGTAGAATGTTGGTTTTGGAATGCATCCGGCGTTTGAGCCCGGCAAAGGCAAGAGCTGAAGTCCATGCCTGTTTACACAATTCAGGTTATGGGGTGTGAGGCCTGTACACCTTAAGTGGAAGACCAATGCTCCCAGGAACCTTCATTGTCAATCTCAGCCTTCTGCAATAGCAGTGCTGTGGCAATGACAAATGCAGCTTGAGGCAGTCCAAATCCCCAGAATCGTTTTTTTTTTTGGGCAGGCCAAGTCAGCAGCCAATGCCGCTGCCCTTGCCGCTGCAGCTGCTGGTGCTTGATACTCAGGAACTGGGACGAACACGGACAAACGATCCTACTTTGATCTGCTGTGCTGATTGCTGAAGTGGATCGCCAAGCAGTGAAGTCCTCGAGTTTGCCGGAGGGTTTGCCGTGTCTGCTTTGGGCCGGCAAGGTTCGGAACATAAACCTTCCTTCAACTAGCACTAATAGCCGTGAGCAGACCACGAAGTCCGAGGCGAGGCCGGCGTGGAACACATTTGTGCGGCGTAAAATATGTGATAGGGTACCGACAGGTAAGCTTTTCGGTTTGTTGGAGATCATGGTACAGTGACCAGGCTCGTGCAAAAACCGACCTGTCTGAAGATATTCTGTGACCCAACTTTTGTCCACACGCCGCCCAGGCGTAAAAGTGAGTGAGTGAGTGAGTGAGTAAGTGAGTGAGTGAGGGAGTGAGGGGAGTGAGGGGAGTGAGGGAGTGAGTGAGTGAGGGAGCGAGGGAGCGGGCGTGAGTGAGGGCGTGAGATCGTGAGATCGTGAGGGAGTGAGGGGAGTGAGGGCATTGAGGGAGTGAGTGAGTGAGGGAGCGAGGGAGCGGGCGTGAGTGAGGGCGTGAGAGCGTGAGGAAGTGAGGGAGTGAGGGAGTGAGCCAGCATTAGACAATACCCGGGAAAAAACCATCTCCAAGCTACCTAGCACGAGTGTGCCTAGACCAAAAGCCAAGTCCAAATGAAACGAGGCGCCGTCAGGAAGCTACCCGCCCTCCTTATCTAGAGCCTTGGCCGAACTTGGGAGCTGAGTGTGATATGTGAGTCTGTCACCCTTCTTCCTGCCATTGCAGACTCAGGCTCTCCTGCAAGACAGCCTGGCCCAAAGTTTTGCGCGTGCAGAAAAGGCATTGGAATCCTTTGAGTGCTTTCCCTGTCAATGCGTGGGATAAGGCCACTCCTGGGAGAGCACCCAAGCCGTTTGACCAGTGGGCCACCAAGTGCCACGTGGAATATTTCATAGGCCAATGCTGCCAAGGCCAGTTTCACACAACAATGGAAATGGTAGCCAGTCTGAGCTTAAGCCTCCTCTGAATCTCTAAGGCGCGGAGAGTCGAACACCCTTCCTTTCTGGAACTCCCACGCGACATCACGGGCTATCGTCACCCGAGAGTCGAAGCAGGCGATGGAATGTTTCATTTAATAGAAGGTTCCGGGACCGAGCTGATGGATTCACATGGAGTCAAGATGTTGAAGGGAGATGCCCAGATTAAGATGTTGAGATAAAATGCTCAAAGGTAGCAGGCGGGTCGGTCGAACAGTTTCCCAACCTTGCGAGGCAGTTGGGCATGCCATCAGTCTTCCGCCGTGCTGCCATGATGCCCACAGAAAGACGCAAGGCACGGAGTAGTTGCTGCCAGCTCTTCTGGCACAGTCAGCAGGATTTTTTTCACCAAGCTTAAATTAAGGCGCAAAATAGCTTGTGTACAGCAGTGGGAAACCATGCTATCTGCCGCATTGTGCTTCCATGGGATCCATGGTGACCAACCATTTCAGATAACAAGATGAGTAGCCATTACGTCAAATACAAAAAACCCACACGTACATGTACAGGTAGATAGATACATAGGAAGAAAGGAAGAAACGAAGAAAGGAAGAAAAAAAGAAAGGAAGAATGGAAGAAAGGAAGGAAGGAAGAAAGGAAAAAAGGAAAGAAGGAAGAAAAAAGGAAGGAAGAAAGGAAGGAAGGAAGAAAGAAAGAAACCAACCAAACAAAACCACACCAAAACAAACAAAACCAAACAGAACAGACAGACAGAGACAAACAAGCAAACAAGCAAACACACACACACACACTGCAGGTTAAATGATTTGGAAGAAGAGAAGGATGACTTTAATGCCGCCTTGCAAATTCCTTAAACGAACGGCCTGGCAGCCTGAAAAGCTATGGAAACCCAAGCGCATGACCTCCACGAGATCAATGGCACCTATGAAGAGCTCTTTGCCACCACTTCCCGATTGGACTTGACGGAAGTGTGCTGCCCGCCAGATAGTCGCTTGACTCAGACTTTTCTGGATCAAGGACGGTCAGCCATACGCATTGGACTTCCTGCATTTGACCTGTCCACTAGTAAAGGCAGCAACGAGCTCAAGCCATGATCCAAAGACACCGGCCACGTCTCCTTTGGATTTCTCTTCCTTGTGGCCCATATTCTCCCATCCTATCTCTCTTCAATGAAAACACAGAGGAGCAACTCGCCAAGAGTTTGGATCGAAAGCGCAAAGCGCGCAAGCTCATCAGGAATGGCATCAAGGCAGCGCGTCTCCAAGTGGACTTAGGAGGCGACGTTGCATGGGAATGGCCAGGCAACAATGGAGGATGGCATCTACCGGAAATGCGCGCCTTTCTATTTCTGGATTGGATGGAGGCTCACTTTGGACTTTCAGTGGCCCGAATCCATGGTTGCGCTTATGGACTTTTGAACAGCCAAGGTGCCTTAGTGAAGACGCCCTGGAAGATTGCTACCTCCAACCCTTCACTGGCGACAGGCCTGAGTCTTCATGGTGACCATCAACATGCTGAATGCCTTGGAGGACAAGATGCGCGGGACTCTGGATTTTATCCCAAAAAGATGTGTGAGCGCATCTACAGGCTTGTGATGTCCATGATCCAAGAGACAGCCAAAGATGCCTTCCCAAAGATCTACCCAGTTTTTGATGAGGAGATCTTAGATGATGCAGGCCAGCCCACAAGCGCTGTGCAACCTCTGACAGAGGCCGAAGCCAAAGAGGCTTCCAAACTTTGCACAACCTCACCGGCGCGCAGGCCATCCTTCCAACCAGGCCCTGTGCTGAAACACCGAGGAGCACATCCTGAAGTGGTACAGATGGCGCAGAAGCACCCATGCCCGGAATGCCAAGAATTGCGCCTGGCCGCCTCCACAATCCGCCAGGCGCCTGCAACGATCTGAAACTCTTTGGGAGACCCTCGTCATTGACAACGCGGAGTTTCCTGTGGATGACAAGGTGATCCACTGCATGATCATGGTTGACGAGGCTTCCAGACTGGTCTGTCCTCACTTCTTGTTTGAACATCCCAGAGAGCAGAGCAGGAATTGCACTGGCGCAGAAGCCGTGGCTGGCATCCAAGATTCATGGGTGCGACACTATGGTGCTCCAGCAGCCATCAGATTGGATCCAGAAGGTGCGTTCAAGTCATGGGAATTGACGCAGTGGGCCCAAGAACGCAGCATTGAAATTCTTCCTTGTGCTGCAGAAGCTCACCGCCAAATAAGCCTGGTAGAGCGCATGATTCAGACTATCAAGCAGACGGTCAAACAGATACTCCAAGCAGGGCAATATGATGCTTGGGATGCTGTTGTCCAGGCCTGCCAGACTCACAACGGGTTTGAACGGGTCAGTGGCTATTCGCCATACCAATGGGCTTTTGGCAGGCAGCCTTCTTTGTCGGGTCGTTTTCATGACAAAGCCCCCCATGATCCCTTTTGGACTTCCTCTGCAATTCCAGGTGCCCACATGGCTGTGAATCTGAAGCCGTGGCATCAAGCCCAGAATGCCTTCCTGAAACAGCAGTCCTATGAGAAAATCAGTCGAGCGGCAAATGCTAAGACCCGGCGGCTTCAAGTTTTTCTTCCAAGCAATTTGTTTTTTTAAAGAGGATCATGCCGCCAGCACGCCCTATGGCTGCAGTGAGAATGCCTCGCAAGCTGTGGAGGTGGCACGGCCCTGGAACAGAAACCTAACCAGGACCGACGCGCTTGGACATGAGCGCAAACCGTCCCACATTATCCGGGTGGTGACGCATGGTCGGTTGAAGAGATGCTCGCCAGAGCAGTTGCGACATGCCTGAGAACGCGAGAAGGTCTTGGCCGAAAGCGCAGAAAGCCCTACGACAAGTTAGACTCTCCATAGCTTGCCGTCCACCCTCTACAAGGGCGAGTATGAGATCCTGGACGACATGGTGTTTCCTGAAGATGAAGCTATGCAGGGGCCACCCCGTGAGTCCAGGAGAGGCAGATTGGCTACACCGAGCCGCCAGCCAAAGACGCCGGTTGCGGCGCCATGAAGGATCCAACATATGATCCTGAGCCCATGCCAAGATCTTCAATGTGATCCACTCCAGAGCTTTTCTCTTCTTGCCCTTGTTCAAGAAGGCACGCAGAGAACATCAACCAGATGATGGTCTGATGGTGGAAGAAGCGGAGGACATGTACATGTGCTGCTTCGATTTGCCAGTGCCTCAGAAAGCAAATGAATGGAAAAGATTGAAGAGGTCACCTGAAGGCTTTTGCGCATACATTGTCGCTTGAAGACAAGGTTGGGTTCAACAAGGCCAAGATGACCGAGGTCAATGCCTGGCGCTCAGCAATGGCAGCGCTGACTTCCCACGTGAACGTCTGATGAGGATGCGCTGGGTGTTGACACGAAAGGGCGATGGCTCTCTGAAGGGGAGAATTGTGCTGATTGGGTATGAGGACCCTGACCTTCAGAACATCCAGTCTGCAGCCCCTATGATGAGTCGCGGAACACGGCAATTGGGCCTACAATATGCCAGCATCAGGTGTTGGCGGGTCCACTGAAAGCCGATGTCAAAGCAGCTATCTTGCAAGGTGGCTCCGTGGAAGAACTGAGAGACCTCTCTGCAATCCCTGTTCCAGAGCTTGCAGCCGCACTTGGACTGAAAGAAGGAGAAGCCGTACAGGTGTTGAAATCATGTTACGGTTTAGTGCATGCTCCAGCAAAGTGGTATGAATGCGTGCGGGACACGTTGCTGAAAATTGGTTTTCACCAAAGCAGGGCAGACCCATGCTTGTGGTTGTACTACACCATGGACTCAGTGGGCAGAAAGCTAACATCTGGTTTTATTTGCTCACATGTGGATGACTTCATCATCAGCGGAGACGAGACACGCGAGTCTTGGGTGGATGCTTTGAACCAATTCTACAGCCGTTTCAATTGGTCTCCATGGGAGTGCAGTAGCTTCATGCACTGCGGCGTCCGAGTTCATGAAGAACCAGATTTTTCTTTCACGTTGGGCCACTCATCCTTTTGTGAGAACATTGAGGCGATTAGCTCCACCACCAAGAATGAGCACGACAAGTTGACTGCAGATGAGATTATGCAGCTCCGTGGCGTGCTGGGTGCTTTGCAGTGGCGTGGGCAGCAGCCACATCTCATGGTGAAAACCGGCCAATTGCAAAGCGCAGTGCCAAAGGCGAACGTAGACACTTTGAAGGCAGCAAACAAGCTGGCCAGGGAATGCTTCCAGACTAGGTACATGTCGACCAAGATTAACCAGCTGCATGTGGATGACCCCAAGAATGTGCAGTTTGTGGCTTGGAACGGCGCAGCACTAGCAAACCGAATTGACCTGAGCAGCACTGGAGGCTACCTGATAGCAGAAGGCCCAGAAATGACCGCTGGGAAGCGCTCTCCTTTGACTCTGGTGTCCTGGCGATCGTGTCGTCTCCTCGCAGAGCACGTTCTTCAATGGCAGCAGAAGTGGCTGAGGCAGACCAAGAGTTAATGTTTGTTAGGCTAGCCTGGGCAGAGTTTTGCCCGGTAGAAGTAGATTTAGCCACCTGAATTCAGAGGGGTTGGGCTTAGAGATAAGTATTCAGCCCTCGAAATTTTATGTTTACTGGAGTCCCTCGAAAAGATGAGAACTTCAGTAAGGTGGGTGCATTCAGACGCACAGTTCGCTGATCACCTCACCAAGCCCTTGCCAACTGGGACTCTCCACAAGGTATTGAATGAAGGCTTCAGGGCACTGGTGTATGACCCGGATTTCACCAGTGCGAAGCGAGTAAGGAAAGCGGCCAAGAATGAGAACTACAATCAAAACCTAAGGGGCATGTCAGAATCTGAAGTTGACAGCCATTTGCCACTTGAACCTGATCATACTGAGGTGAACTTGTTGATCTCCGTATCTCATTCTGGCCCAACTCCCATCTGACAGGGCTCCCTTTTGCCACGTATCCTTTTGCAATGGACCCTGCTACGGCGTGATAAAATCAAGTCGTGGTGCACTTGCCTTGCTGTTGATTTGTGTATCAGCTGGAAACGAGATCATACAGTTTGATCCTTTTTGGCATAGGAGCCCAATGAAACAACATCTCAAAGGTCAACGTGCTACCAAAATACTGCTGCACCCCAAGCAAAGAACATGCGTAAACAAGGCCAAGACGTTGATAATGACCGCGACGGCTTGCTCATTTGCCAACTGACCACCTGATCCTCAATTCTGACCACTTGCTCTTATGACGTTACGTAGCATCAACTCAAGAGAAGTTCTCATGACATAGCACCAACTCATAATTAGTACACACACGCACACACACACACACATATATATATATACATATTTATAATTATATATATATGTAGATATAACATTTAGATTTACAACATAGAGTGAAATTGAAAAGAACTTCTCGTGACGTAGCATTAAACAGGTGTGCAAGTTCCAGGAAGTTATTGCCCCAACCCACCCCTCAACCCACCCCCCAACCAACCCCACCCCGGCCTGTTACGGTGCGCTGCCACCGGTAAGTGTAAATTGTCACTGTACAATGCAAATGACATATAAGTGGAAACGTTAAAATTACCCCAGTCATAAACAACGTCTCCAGCATAAACAAGACAAACAACAATAAACATGGTGCCACTCTAGATCCAACTTAGCTCTGTGTTCCCAAACGCGTAAATGTAAACAGACGAAAACACGAAATCATTTTGTAATGCAATGCAAATTTGGGGCAAACATGTTCCCTTGTTTAAACTGATGTATTGATGATCCCGTTACACCGCTAACCTAGGGGTAGGAACCTGTGTATCCATGTGTATCCTATGTTTGTAACGGCAGATGTAACGACATAACACCACGCCTTCACCGTGCCTTCACCACTTTGGTGTGGCCAGAGTTCCATTTCTCATTTACTTTGCTTTATTGCTTTACTTTGCTAGTCACGCTGAATGAGATATATATTGGCGTCGCTGAGCAACGAAGGTCGCCTACACCGGAGCACTGGAACCCACTTGGAACCCCACAAAGTTGGAAATGAGGTCCTTGACATTGTTTGAAGGTTGGCCCTGGAGTTTTAATGGACCTGATGGATTACCAGCCAGGGGTTTTGCAGAACCTGTGGCCGCCAACTCCAGTTTCCTGTGCAGGACGGCTAAAATGCACGCGGTATACCTGCCGAAAGCAAATAGTTTCATTGTTAGTTCCGTTAGACGTAAAACCAGGGCTAAAATGCAGTGAGTGCAGGGTGATTTTTGTGTGAGTTTTCACCTGTCCAGATTCGATGCCAGTTGACCCTCTTTGTAGCAACTTGCCAGCAACCCTTCTCAGTGAACGTTTTTCGTAGGTTTCTCTTGAGGTAGTTGAAGGAAATTTGCTGAAAACTTGGTGAACATTAACTTATGTCAAGCCTCAAAACTCGGTGAAAAATTGGCGGAAAATGCAGAACAGGCAAAAACCGGATGAACACTGATGAAACCTGGTTGAATTTGAGATGATGCCTGGTTAAAACTGGTCGGAAATTTGAGGAAACATGGTGAAAACCTGGTGAGCAAGCGGTAAAATCTAATCCAAAACACTGGTGACATGCACCAAATGCCAAAACCAGGTGACAGTTTCCTTTCAAGAAGTTTTTGAAAGAAATGTGTATTGTATCGCATTGTGTTGTCCTGGCAGATGAAAAACAAAGCTTGCATTCATGACCCATAGCCACACGCAAAAACACATTTTGCCTTTCCGGAAATGATAACGACCAGTTCGGGGAGGGGGGCAGGGCGTCCCCAAAAATCAGCATCTTGGAGGCTGGGCCAAAGAGGCTGCATGCGCGTGATCGGTGGAATGTGGAGGTGTGGTTTGTTTCAACATTTTCAACGGATTTTTGCAGTGACTTTACGTAAAATCATGTTTTTTGCCGCCATCCAAAACATCAGGAGCTGCGATTGAGTGACATCATGACCAGATCGTTGGACTTGCAAGAAGGCTTGCACGCTGACAGGAAGGCAACCCACTACAATCGAAGACGCAATGTATTGATATTAGCTATAATATGTTATAATCACGGTGTTTGTAAAGACCAATGATAGTGCATTGTGGTGTGTTGTGACATGTTTGCAGTGGACTGGAGGCGCGGAAAACATTGATCCTGGATTGGAAGAGAAAGAACTGACGGAGATGCTGTCCGAACTCTATGGGGAGGTGCCTTCCCTCCAATTTTGTCACGCCTTTCTTCCGGACTTGTCCATCGTATCTTCAGATTTTGCCGAGCGCAAATGTACACAGCACAACCATCAAATCCAAATCCATATTTTTTTTCTCTTGGTGTGTGTGTTTCAAGGCATTGTTTGATGCGCTATTTCAGCAGGTTCCTGCATTTCTTTTTGCACAACATTAGATCATGATTGTAGTCATGGCACACTGTTTCAGACAAATCAATTTTCTTTGTTGATGACTTGGCTGCAGGAACCGGATTCGGAAGCAGTCCATTGGACATTTTATTTGGCGAGCCGTGGAACTGGGAGGCAGTTTGTATTTCATCCAGCTGAGAGCAGGGTGAGACATGCAAAAAAAGAAACATGAATTGGCACTCAGGTGCACGAGTGCCAGTGTGATCCTCAGTTGTGACGTCTTGGTAACTGCTTTACAGTAATATCTTTAATCAGATGTCAGCCACCTTCAGGTGATTTGCATTATGCTTGCCGAGCTCACCATTACTGCCATTTTTTACCCCAGGCCTGGCCTTCCCAAACTGTTTGCATCAGCTGTTTGGGTTCATTGCATGGATCCAGTACTGTACAATCTGGCGCAGTCCTAGAAAGTGTTCAGCAGAAAAAACACGGAAAAACATAGGCTATGAATAGAGGACCAGGAAAGGCTTTGTGAAGGTTCGAGAAGGTTTCGTCCATGTCCTGTGAGATCACTGACATCCCGATTGTTTATATAGAGTGTTCCCAACAGCAATTGTTGTGACAAGGATTGACAAGGCAACTGCGCTGGCCTATGCAATCCTATGCACATTAGTTGTTGGGACATTTACTCAAGAGATCGCCCTTCATATTCAGTACCATCTAGCCTCTCTATCGGCGGAGAAGGTTGAACTCTATCGAGTTTTTTTAAAACTTGGTTTTAAACTCTCTCTCTCTCTCTCTCGCGCGCTCGCACGCGCACCCCTTTACACACTGGATCACGCTGGGATTACTGAGCGGATGGTGAGGACACTATGAGAACTCTGGCTACAACCAATGCTCTGCCCCCAGAGAAGACTTGACCAGCACCATTTCCTTAGCCGTTGGCGGCCTTTTGCAGCTTTAAGAACAGCTTTTCTGAGTTCTGCTGAGTTCTGAGCAGCCGAGGTGAGTTCCAGAGGAGCCGTGGACTCCACTTTGCTTCAACACCTTCTCGAAGATCTTAATGACGGTCAGCACCTTTGGGCTACACAGTGTTTTTCACGATTGATCTAGTCTTTGTCAGCACTCAAAATCATGAACTCTGCTGGTATACATATATTTCGGGGCATTAAGGCTTCACTGTTCCTGCTGCAGAGGCAGGGTCATTCAAGCTGAAAAAAAAACGTTTGCAGCTCTTGTTGGCTAATTTCAGAAAAATCAATAGTGGTGAGACGAACTCCCAAGCATTCCGCCAACATCTTCCAACATCTTCCAACATCTTCCGACATCTACTGGGGCCACAGGATGAACTGGGATGGACCGGGCGAGGTGAAGACAGTTCTGGACGAGGCAGATGGGCTTGCCAACACTGGTGGAAGTGGCAGAGCCTCATTACTTCGGGCCATTTCGGCATGGTGCCCTGCGCAATCAGAGTGAGGCCGTGAGCTGGTAGACAAATTTAGGCAACATCAAACTGACAATGTCATGACAATATCACGACAATGTCATCTATGCCATCTATGCAATCTATCGAATGTTGCAGTTCTTTGTTGTGAATTATAATTCACCACCAACTCTCCAAGCTTTGAAGGTACCTCAACGTGGTTCGCAGCGATTCGTCCAGCTCTTAAGACATGGCCGGTATGTTTTGTATGCTGCTACAATGCTGTTGTCGAGCATTTTTTGAATGTTTCGACTGTTTCGGTATGCTTTTGTCGATCTGAGCGATCTGCATCGCGGTGAATGCCGTGAGGCCATGGACAACTACCCTGAAGGCATGCTACGGTCTTCTCCTTTCGCCCGACAGATGTGATGTGCATATGATGTGCATATGAGGCACATCTAAGGAACGATATGCAAAGTCAAGTGCTGCATGATGGCATAGCCGGCATAGCCGGCATAGCATATCTGCCTTGCATTGACTGAGTTACCGATTGGCTGTTTGCCCCACCGAGGCAGATGGATCCCAAAGAAAGGCTATCACCTTGAGGCACATCGAGCACTTCGTGCAGATTCTCCCTTCACCAATTTGTCACCAATTTGTCACCAATTCATAAGAAATCCTAAGAATTCCTAAGAATTCAAGCATGGCCCCCTGCTGGATCTGAACGATTCAAATCGCTCAAATCGAGTACGTATGGTCCCACATGGTCCCACATGGTCCCACATGGTCCCACATGGTCCCACTGAAAATTTCTGAGGAGTTGAACTCCTGATTTTTGGACTGTCATAGACTGTCCCAGGCTCTCATTGTTGCCAAGTATTGATCAGGTTCTGGGCCATCTTCGTGCTTCCTTGGTAAATGCAAACGAGGCTGGAACGACAATTTGACAAGGAATTTGACCAAATCATTTAATTTGCTATGGAGCCAAGAGTGTATGGGATTAGGATTCTGAAGCACTTCATTTAATATATCATACAGTAATTTATAATCTGAAAGTGGGAAAAAAATAATATCCCATAGACAGGGAAGGATGCCAAAAGTGTAGACCCAGATAAACAATTGCAGTCAATTGCTGAGATTCATAGATACTGATTGAGAACGGTACGCAGGGATAGATACTGTAATGATACTGGGTACCTGGTAGTAGATAGATTATTCTGAATGATGACATGTGATTGAACAGTATTGAACATAACGGTAGAGACAGGTCGGTAGATGGATGGGATGAAGGAAGATGATTGGAAGTGACGATAGATTGTGGTCGAATATGATATAATGGACTGCCAGAGACAATGAGTCACAATGGAAAGCAGTCATGCGCGATGACAATTCTCGATCGTGCATACTAAGTAGATAAAAAAACATTAACCTTATACTTAGAGGTGTATACCTTACTTGCAGGAGTTTGCTGATGAACCCAAAGCCTTCAGTACATACACGGATACAGAATATTCAGAATACATACATTCTCCAACCAGCAAGAAAGTATATGTGCGCGTGTAACTGCTGAATCGATGTGAAAAACTTGACAGCATTGCCGATGCCCTTTATTCGAGGGGAGCTGGATGGAGCTGGGATCAGTTGGTGGTCTTGCAATGTCTTCCAAGGCTTTTCACGAAGAACACAGTCCTGACAGTGCTGGGCAAGCTGCTCTCTTCGTGAATTCTATTGTGACTCTTATGCTTGCTGTTTACACAACCGTACATAAAGACGTTTAAAGAAGCAGAAACCCGATAAATTGAACACAACTTTAATATACTTTAATAAGTTTTGCTTCTTGAGGCTGTTTGGTTGCTAATCCAAGCAGCCGGCCTTTTCGTAGCGTCAGCAGCCTGGGCACAGGATCTTGCAGAAACTCGACAGTTTTCAACATTTCTTTCCTGGACAGAGTTGATGTTTGCAAGGCTGGTATTCCCATCCTGCTTCTTCCTGTGGCTGGTGGTCGTAGGCACGCAGAATACCGGGTGATCAGGTGGATCGACAGCTTGCTTGTATGTCATGTATGTGTTGCGTGTTGTACTGAAAGAGTGTCATAGTTCATCACAGTTCACAGTTCACACATTTAATGTATGCTATAGGGTTGTTGCCTATATATGCCTATATAGCTTATAGTGCCTATAACACTCTGCATACTCTGTGACTTAGAGGGTTCTCCTCCCACCTTTTGTCAAGGTGGAGATTGCTCTGAAACATATTCACCAGCCCTGTGTTGGCATCATGGAATAGTCTTCGTATCATCGTGACAATCATTGGGTCCGTTCTGTCTCATGACCACGCACAGAAACAGGAACATTGACAATATCAGAGAATCCACTACATTCCCCATCACCGTCACCCTGACTGCTGATGTCATCATGCCGCAACCGTCACGATGCTACGCTACTATGCAAGCACTACGCTCTTCAACATCATCGTCATGGCATGTCATGGCCATCACCATGGTCATGTAATGAAAACAAACAAAAAGGCAGTGTCAAAACTTGAATTCAAGAATAACCTCAGCCAGCCTTGGTTGTTTGCAGGCTATCAGCCTTGTGGTTTATTTTCTTGCGGCTTCCGAAGACAAAGGTGATTGGTGACCATCTAAATCTACACCTCAAATCCCTGCCGAAGTCCCCATGTTGCTTCCTCGCTCTGAGCGTTGGCTTCAAAGATCTTTGACACATGAGGTGCAGAGCATGGTGATGACCGCTGTCCAAAGGCCTGGGATGCTGAAGCTGCAAAGGAAGTGGAGTTTCCTGAGTTTTCCTGAAATCTCTTGAATACTTCAAAAGCTGAGACTGATACAACTGGAGTTGGAAGGACTTGGATGGGCTGATCACGTGGTTTGGCAGCCTCGGCATGGGCCTCATCGGCCTCATTGCTTCATTTTCCGAGCCACAAACTCTTTCCGCCTAAGGCTTGGCCACCATGGTTGTTGGGTGGGCAGATGGATTTGCGCAGTCTGAAAACCAAATGGTTAAAGCCTCATCCCCAGTCAGACGATCATTTTCCTCGAGAAGGCGGTTCTGGAAGACACTGGAAGACACTGGAAGACTGCAAAGTAAACGCTGATTGACTTGGACATGCTTGGAGTTTCCTGAGCCATTGAATCATTGAGGCTTCAAGTATTGGATTGGGTCTGAAAGCAGTCCAGATCTGAAAAGGACTGTGGTACTACTTGGTATTACTTGGTCACTACATGGCACTATATTGCAGTTTTTCGATGTTTTTTGTTTCATCGCTGGAAGTGTCTGCAACATCAAGGTGCTTCTCATTCTGCCATGGGTTGGAGCATTCTGGACTTTTCATTTGGCGAGCAAGGCTGGGAAGAGCGTCCGCCGTGTGCACTTTGCTTTGGCTCAGCAGCTGGTGACCCCTGGATGGTCCACGATACTCCTAGTTGTGGAAGTCAATGCGTTTCAATGAAATGTGCGTCCTAGGTGGGGGAGAAATTTCTGGAAGTCGGTGCGATGTTGCGTCCAGTTGGTGTTTAGCATGTTTGTGTTTTCTCCAATTGATGGTTTATCGTGAGTTTTTCATGGATACCATGCAGATGGTTGTGGCTATTCCCTTGTGTTTTGGGAGTTTTGTACATCACTTGTGGCTCGCTCTGTTGTACAAGATTCATACAAACACCGCCGAATACTGGGTCGATGTTATAACAAGTGCCTATGGGGAATGGCCCGCATGGGCAGCGCCTATCACTTTAACTTACTGATGTATTTTTTGGCACTTCGCATAGGCACACGACGCTTACCTGTCATATCTTTTTGGGTTTACCCACTATACTCCCAAAGATGAAAGTCGTGGCAATTGTATACTTGTTTGCCAAGCTTGCGTCCCTTTGTCTCCCCTCTGTCTCCCCTCTGTCTCCCTTACTCGCCCTTTGTCTCCTCTTCTCTCTCCTTGCTCTTGCCTGCAGCTGCTGCTTGGCTTGGTTTCCTCTTCTGCTCCACCGCTGAAAGCTCTTGAGTCTAACTGTTCTGAAAAGAATGCGAAAGCGTGTGGCTACCAAAGAGTTTGTCAGGAGACTTAGGGGGCCAGTCTCCCAAAATCTGATTTCGGACCTCGTTTGGACCTCGTTTGCACCTCGTTTGCACCTCGTTCGGACCTCGTTAAAATTGCAGCCAGTCAAAACCCAACCCGGAGAGGTTTTGGAAAGGCTTTGCAATGGTCTGCTGCTTGGTCTGCTGCTGCTGCTGTTGTTGTTGCTTGTGTTGCTGCTTCTGGGCAAGGCGCGGTTTTTGGGCAGAGAAGCAAGAGATTTGTGAAAGGGCTGGAAGCTTTTGCCTGCCTCAGAATTAGCCCACTTTGACCGTCGGTGTGCCAATAGGATTTCCACCTGGCGGAAGATTAGTGATGTCTGGCGTAAGCGGTGTGCCATACGGCTGGCGCAAGTTCTAGTAAATGGCGTAGGTATCAATGTGCATGTTTGGATAAGCGTCCACATGGTGTTTAACATCCGTGGATATATATTTTTAAGATTGTGGGACATAACTGTGCACACGCGTCCTGATGGGGATTTAGAAATTTTAGCATATATTTTTAAGATTATGGGACATAACTGTGCACACGCGTCCTGATGGGGATTTGGAAAATTTGCCAATAGAAAAGTGCACTGCCAGGGATCTAAAAGTAACACTTCTACATAGTGCGTCCCATGCAGTTTTAGACCTGGTTGCATTGACTTGTTTGACTTCCTGAATGCGCGGCGTCCCATGCAGTTTTTACCTTGGTTCCACATATGCACTGACTTTCACGTCCGGGTGTAGTCCTTCAGTCGTATTCCTCTGTGCATCGTTCTCCTGGGGTCGCCAGGTTCTGTTTGAGCAGAAAATCCATGATCTCGGGAATCGTGGGTCATTTCCTCTTACCCTGATGGCGGTCTTGATTCAATCTCATCCAAAATATCCAAACTGATTCACCATGATTCACCTACATGTAAAAAACAGCAGGGGTGGGGCTGCAAGGCCCAGTGCTGTGGTTTCTGATTTTGAGATACTGGGGTAGTTATCTAGAATCTAGATTGACATTGATTGGCTGTACAAGAGAACCTGTAAATCCGAATCATTGCAAAATAGCAACGACCTCAAACGACCCCCCCCCCACAACTCTTACTATAGTTTAAGGAACACTTGTCAAAGTTTGCTTTGACTCAGATCGTCGAATTATTACAACGATAATTTTGATGATAGTTTGTATCAACAATTACTTTGGGAAGGAGGCCTGCCTCGAGGCCTCGCGCAAGGCCTGCCTCGGCCTAGAATCCTAACACTGGGTGCACAGCGAACAACGCAATACTGCCAACTGGCCCAACTAATAAAGCTCGGCGCAAACAAGCGAACAAATAATCCGTGTCTAGACGAGAGGAGATTGGGTTGCAGATACTTCCCAGCTTTCATAGTATCACAATGTATCACATTAAATGAAAATCAAGGAGAAAAATCTCAGGCCGGAGCTTGAAGGGCCCTAGGCATGTGGCAGTGGTATGGCTATGTTTGCAATTCTGGATTTTCATAAATCTTCTACTTATATCTACTTATACAATCTCATTCCCTAGCTTCAATATTAATAGCATTTGATGTGCGCAGCGCGTCTCAATTCAAATAACTGCGCAACCCAACCATCTGGAGTTCTCCCTGGGCATTTTGTGTGCTCCTGTTTCCACCGACTTCAATCTGGAACTAGTACAGCTCATGGGGCACTCATTGGTCAAGGAGGATAGATGCTTTCTGAACGTCATAGCCAGTCATCGCTTCCATTCCAAATGCTTGCTAAGTTTGGTCCCATTTTGTTTTCTTTCATTGCAGGATTCCCTTCCGCGCTGGAATGTCTTGCAATTCATCGCAAGGACCAGCAGGTCTGTGGCCTTTTCCTGACCGAAGCTAGTTCTCTACTCTGGCCAGGAACTCAATCCTTGCGTTGCTTGTCTAGCTCCCTTGAGAAGATACCAGTAGTACCGCACAAGGCGGTGGCGGAAGTTTCAAAAATAGGAAACCTATAGGAGAGCGTGGTTGTTGTGACTCACGGATGGCAGAGCGAATCCACTGATGGACCGAAAGGTGGTTGGAGTTGTGTTTTTTGTAGTGGTTGCAATGGTTGCAGTGGTCACCTCACCACAACTGCTGGATGTAGTGTGGTGTAGTGCAGTAGTAGTTGCAGCTGTTGTAGTTGTACTGTAGTGGAGTCGTAGTTGTAAGTTGTAGTTGTAATGTAGTGTAATTAGTGTAGTGCAGTTGCAGTTGTAGTTGTAGTTGTAGTTGTGGTGTGGCGTATTGAATTAGTGTAGTGTATTGTAGTGTTGCGTAATGTAGCGTAGCTGTAGCTGTATTTGTATTTGTAGCTGTACTGTACTGCAGTTGAGTCAGTGTAGTGTAGTGTAATGTAATGTAGTGCAGTAGTAGTAGTAGCAGTAGTAGTAGTAGTAGTAGTTGTTGTTGTTGTTGCTGCTGCTGCTGTTGTTGTTGCTGCTGTAGTAGTAGTAGTAGTAGTAGTAGTAGTAGTAGTAGTAGTAGTAGTTGTTGTTGTTGTTGTTGTGGTTGTCGTTGTCGTTGTCGTTGTCGTCGTCGTCGTCGTCGTTGTTGTTGGTGTTGGTCTTGGTGTTGGTGTAGTTGTAGTTGTAGCTGTTGTTGTAGTTGTAGTTGTAGTGTTATTAGTGTAGTGTTATTAGTGCAGTGTAATTAGAAGTAGTTAGCGCAGTTTGGTGTAATTAGCGTAATGTAGCGTAATTAGATGTAATTAGCGTAGTGTAGTGTAATTAGTGTTGTGTAATGTAGCTTAGTATATTTGTATTTGCATTTGTATGTGTATTTGTAGTAGTAGTGTAGTGTAGTGGTAGTTGTAGTTGTAGTTGGAGTTGTCTATCTATCTATCTATCTACCTATCTATCTACCTATCTATCTACCAACCTACCTATCTATCTATCTATCTTTCTATCTGCCTATCTATCTATCTATCTATCTGTCTATCTATCTATCTATGTATGTATATATGTATGTATGTATGTATGTATCTACCTATCTAGCTATCGATCTACCTATCTATTTATCTATCTTTCTATCTTTCTATCTGCCTATCTATCTATCGATCGATCTATCTACCTATCTATGTATGTATCCATCTACCTATCTAGCTATCGATCTATCTATCTATCTACCTATCTAGCTATCTATCTATCTATCTATCTATCTAATCTTATCTTATCTTATCTTACCTAACCTAACCTAACCTAATCTAATCTAATCTATCTATCTATCTATCTGTCTATCTATCTATCTATCTACCTATCTATCTATCTATCTGTCTACCACCTGCAAGCTTGAAAACGAAGGTATTCTGAGAGACTTCCTCAATTTTTGAATTTGACAACGGCAAAAACGAAGCAATTCTGCGAGACTTCCTCAATTTTCCATGTTGACAACAACAAGAACGAAGCAATTCTGCGAGACTTCCAGGGCTGACGGCCTCGTACCAATGCGTTTTGCGATTTTTCCACTCCATGTGTCTAAAGATTGCGCCTGCCACGAAAAAGTGATGCCAGGTCATACGAAGTGCTGCACCTGTCACGCAAAATCATCTTAGCAAACCCGAAGATCTCATGCTCCAAAATGCAACCTCTCTCAGGAAATCTCCGCCCTGATAACTCATGAGTCTCTTGTATTGCGCCTGCCACGCGAAATGCATCTTTGCAGATCCTCTGCAAATGTCCCATGCCTGCCATCGCTTTTGGAACTGCTACAAAACCTTCACGTCTTGCTCACTTTTGGCAAGGTGCAGAATCCCTTGCACCTGCCGCGCAAAATCACATCTTAACCGAACCCCTGGTGTCTTGTTAATTTTGACTTGGAAATGTGCTTCGCGCCGCAACGGTGTGCACTTTTTCAACATCTCAACTTCCAAAAGTGCTCTGAACATGGTGCGTTTTGTGCAGTTTGACTTGGAAATGTGCTTCGCGTCACAACGGCGTGCACTTTTTCAACATCTCAACTTCCAAAAGTGCTCTGCACCCGTCATTTTTTTTTACACTTTTGACTTCCAAATGTGCTTCGCGCCACAACGGCGTGCACTTTTTCCACATCTCAACTTCCAAAAGTGGCCCGGCCCTGGTGTGTTTTGTACATTTTGACTTGGAAATTTGCTTCGCGCTACAACAGCGTGCAGCTTCTCATCTTTCATCTGGCCAGATGGCTCCGCCCACCGCTTTAGCGAGCCAACTTTTCGATCCTCCGGAGCCACAAACCATTGGAACTGGATCTTCTTCCTTCGGAGACTTCTCTTTTTGGATCTTGTTTCTGCTTTCTGCTTTCTTCTTTCTTCTTTCTTCTTTCTTCTTTCGTCTTTCTTCTTTCTTCTTTCTTCTTTCTTCTTTCTTCTTCTTTCTTCTTCTCTCTTCTTCTTCCTCTCTTCTCCTCTCTTCTCCTCTCTTCTCTTCTCTTCTCTGACTCTTCCCATCTCTGCTTTTCACGAAAGGTAGCTCCAGAGGGGCTACCTTGAGTTTTACTTTACGAAGTAAAGGGGAGGGCGGCCAGCCCCGTTACCTGATTCTTCAGGAGATTGCTAGTCATTTTAGTACCCCCCCCCCACCCCCTGTTTTTGTTTCGACCTAATACCTACATAGGTACATGCATGAGTATTGAGCACATTTATATGCGCCTTCAAGGCTCAAGAAAGAGGTATATAGAGTAACCCTGTAGACAAGCACGGACCGGCAACAGGCTGAGTAAAACAAGTGCTGTCATTGGGGAAGACGCCTTAGCTGATCTTGAAGTAGACGCTAGGGCCCCTCTTCAAGTGGTAGCGGAGCTGTGATCCCTCATTGAGGGTGAGCTCCAGGTAGAGCCCAAGAAATGGCAAGCCATGGCTATGATGATGATGACTTCGACATTGTCGATGCAAATGAATGGAACCAATATGACTCTTATGCAATGAGAAGAGCACCCCAGCATACACAGATTCATATGACGCAACAGATGACCACAAAGGTTGCTCCAGCCTATGATGGGCGAACCAGCTTCTTTGCTTTTGAGGATGCAATTGATGACTGGTGTGACATTACGGAGTTAGAACCAGAGAAACGTGGTCCAGCATTGCGCAACAGACTGGAAGGAGATGCTCAACAATACAAGAGGCTATTGGATAGAGAATTACTCAGGGATCCCTATGAAGGAGTGGCTTATTTCAAAAGATTTCTACGACCTCATTTCATCAAAGGTGCCCAGAACGTGTTCTTATACCGTTTCATGCAGTTCATGAAGTTCAACAGAGGAACAATGGATCTTCAGAAGTGGATGACTAGATTTCAACTCACTGGCAATAGACTTATTGAGTCTTGGATGGATTTACTTCCAGAAGTAACAGTGACTAGTCCTGAAGCAATTCTGTTTGTTCAACAACGACGTCAAGAACATGAACGAGATCAACAAGAGAGAGCTGAAGTAGCAGCAGCCTCAGGAACACCCCATGTAGCTGTTCCTTGGACAGATGAACTGGCACTAGCGGCATTCAGACAATTTCAGGAAAATCGTAGAGAAGCACAGCGACAAGCATTCCCACTGGGTGAAAATTTGCTAGCATTGATTTTTGTAAGTCTAGCTGACCTGAGTCAAGATCAGAGAAACACACTCACAAGTATCATGACACATCGTGGACGAACCCTCGATCGATACAGTATTCAAGAACTACGTGACCTGTTTTTGGAAATGTTTTGCACTACCAAAACAGCAGTTGACAATCCATTGATGCAACCCTCTGGCATGGCACAGAGAAGATCTTTCCTCGTACTGGATGAAGGTGAATTAGAAGGAACCGACGGCTATTGGGCCGAAGATGAAGAAGACGGCGCAGAAGGATTCCTGGATGCTTTAGAAGATGTTTTCTGGGTTTATGATGACGCCAACTTCACATGGTATCAGAGAAGGTTCCAAGGCAAATACATCAGACGAGGCAAAGGTAAAGGAAAGAGAAAAGGAAAAGGAAAAGGCAGAGGAGGACGAAGGTTCTTCAAATCAAGAAAAGGAAAAGGCCGAGGAAAAGGAAGAAGAAAAGGCCGTGCTCACATGGTGAGTGAAGAAGGTTATGAAGATGAATGGCAAGAAGATGAATGGAATGAAAACTATGACGGCTATTGGGCCGATGATCAAACCTGGAATGAAGGCTATTGGGCCTATGATGATCTGTACTACATGGATGAGTATGGATACTTCCAGAAGAAAGGAAAAGGAAAAGGAAAAGGAAAGAAAGAAAGGCAAGAAAGGCAAGGATGATGATGGAAAAGGAGGAAAGCCAGGAGATGGAAAAGGCAAGTCGAACTATGTTCAACCTCAGACCACATCAGCTCCTGCCATACAGAATCAACCAACTCAACAAGCTCATTATTCTTCTGCAGCTTCAAGTTCTGGTCATGGTTTCTTTTCATTTGGAACAACTGAACCAGCACGTGTTGATGTTGCAGAGACAGAGCCAGCACGTGTTGATGTTTTGACATCCACGTATGCAGCACAAGATGAACAACGACGTACTCGTCGTGGAGGACAGAACCAACGTGATGCAAGAGCACATCAAAACAGGAGAGAAATGAAGAGATTCCCTGTTCTGGTTGGAGAAGTTGGTGCACTACGACAAGGTGTACAACAACGTCCAGCTGTAGTGCCCAGGCAAGTTGGTCTTCAAGAAGGTGAGGCTTCATGGAAGCCATTGGCAGAAGGCACATCATTGTTTTCACATGGATGCTCTACAGAGATAGAGGAACCATCACAGCAGAGTGCTTTTTCATTTCATACTGTACAAACTGATCTGGCATGTGAGAATGGACTAGCTTTTCACACAGAGAATTCTGCACCACCAACTGTGTGTATTCTGGATCTTGGATGCACAAGAGCTATGGGCTCTCGACGAGCAGTTGAA